GTAGCGTGCCGCTTGGGTGCGAATCTTCCTAGCTTCGATCGGATCGAACGGTTCTGAGCCGTTAACGATGAAATTCCAGACATTAGTCATCCATGTTTGCAGGGCTTCATCTACCGGCATGCACACTTGTGCGACACTTGGGGTGGGCAACTCCAAGTGTATTATTGATCGAAGTTGTCCCGGCTTGCGACTACTTGCTAGTCGTGCTAATTGGTCAGATTTTTCATTATTCTCACGTGGCGTATGCCTAACTTGTATCTCTTCGAAATGGTTGGTCATTCCCTGGAAAAGGTGGTAGTACTTGAGCAGATTAGGATCTTTCACTTGAAAGTTGTCGTTTACTTGCTCAGTGAATCGAAGGTCCAACATGTGATTTTTCTAGCCCCCATTTCGGCTGCCAAGCGCATTCCGGCCAATAAAGCTTCGTACTCGGCTTGGTTATTGGATGCTCGGAAGCCGAAACGCAGTGATTGTTCCTGGGTGATGCCAGATGGGCTTTCCAAGATGATGCCGGCACCGCTACCTTGGCCGTTGGAGGAGCCATCTACCCGCATTGTCCAAGTGGTGTCTTCAAAGTGGCCGAGTGGTGATAATTCATTGATGAAGTCGGCTAGGCTTTGTGCTTTGATGGCCCCCCGAGGTTCAAAATGGATGTCAAACTCGGATAGCTCGATTGACCATGCCATCATTCGGCCGGTCAGTTCTGGTTTTCGCAGCACTTTGGCGATCGGGCAATCAGTTCGGACCACCACTGTGTGACTCTGGAAGTACTGTCGAAGGTGCCTAGCCGCGTATATAAGTCCTAGCGCTACCTTTTCCAACAGTTGGTATCGGTGTTCGGCATCTTGAAGCACTCGGCTGATGAAGTATATGGGCAGCTGTTGGCTGTCTTGTTCTTGAATCATGCCGGCGCTTATGGCCTCGCACGAAATCGCCAAGTACAGTATTACTTCTCGGCCGTGGGTCGGCTTGGCCAGCACAGGTGGGGTACCGAGCCGCTTCTTAAATAGCTGAAAAGCTATTTCGCACTCCTCTGTCCATTGAAACCGATTTGCTTTTTTCAAGAGGCCCAGTATCGGCCTGGAGGTCTCGGCCATACATGGTAGGAAACGTGATAATGCTGTCAGTCATCCAGCTATCTTTTGGACCTCTTTCAGGTTTGATGGGCTTTTCATGTCAATAATGGTTTGACATTTGTCTGGGTTAGCCTCGATGCCCCGGCTTGATAGCATGAAACCCAAGAACTTGCCTTCAGAGATGCCAAACACACATTTATCAGGATTAAGTCTCATCTGGTGCCTTCGAAGTGCATTGAAAGCTTCGGCCAGGTCGGCTACGTGGGAAGGAATGTCAGCCGATTTGACTACCATATCGTCTACATAAACCTCTATGTTCTTTTCGATTTGGTCACTGAAGATCTTGTCCATGATTCGTTGGTATGTGGCCCCGGCATTCTTCAGGCCGAAAGGCATTACTTGGTAACAGTAGTTGGCAGATTCTGTGACGAATGTCGTTTTGTCTTCGTCTCGGGGGTGCATACGGATTTGATTATAACCCGAGTACGCATCGAGAAAGGTCAAGAACTTATGGCCGGCCGCGCCATCAACCAATCGGTCTATATTTGGTAACGGATAGGCATCCTTAGGACAAGCTTTGTTCAAGTCTGTGTAGTCAGTGCACATTCACCACTTGTCGTTTGACTTTTTGACCATGACAACGTTGGCCAACCATGTTGTGTACTGGATTTCTCGAACGAAACCCGCTTCCAAGAGTTTGGATACCTCTGCTTCAACTGCCTTCTTCCTTTCTTCCCCCATTTTTCTTTTACGTTGGGCGACCGGTTTCGCCTCTCGGCACACTGAGAGTTTTTGGCATAAGAAATTGGGGTCGATCCCTGGCATGTCGGTCGGCCGCCACGCGAAGAGGTCTTTGTTTTTCTTAACAACTTGCCTGATTTCACGTGTTTCCGTCTCGGATAGGTTGGAACCCAGGTAGGTCACGTGTAGGTCGGTTGGCCTGATAACAATTGGTTGTCGGTCTTCAATCGGCTCGACCCTCTCATCCTGCTCCATTCAAGGGTCAAAATCCACAATTGTATCGAGTTCTTGCGCTACTGTGTATACACGCTTTACCCCGCGTGGCTCGGCCGTTTCGAGATGGGGTAGCCGAAGACTGGCGAAATAGCACTCTCTAGCCATTTTCTGATCGGCATGGATTGTGATGATTCAGCCTGATTCCGATGGGAATTTCATGGCTAAGTGTGGAGTGGACACGATCGCACCTAGCCTATTGAGGGAAGGCCTTCCGAGAAGAATGTTGTACGATGTGTTAGCGTGTACAACCACGTACTTGACTGGGATGTCTCGAGCTTCGGCCCCGTCGAAGCAGAAACGGGTGGATAGCTTAATGTATCCTTTTGTTTGTACACGCTCACCAGAAAATCCGACCAAGGGTTCATTGTACGGGATTAATTCTGCCTCTAGGATGCCGAGCTATTTGAATGTGTTCCAGTATAGTATGTCGGCCGAGCTGCCCTGATCGACCAACATTTTTTGAACGGTGCAGTTATGGATTTCGACACGGATGACCATTGGATCGTCTTGGTCTGGGTCGATGCCTTTAAAGTCTGCTTCGGTGAACGTGATGGTCGGCAACCTTCGTTGAGTACGTTCCATCGTGTGCACAGCTCGGACGGCTCGCAGGTGTCTTTTTTGTGCCGAGGAAGTGGCGCCTCCGCCTGCAAATTTGCCAGCAATGGTATTGATGACTCTTCGGGGTTGGGTTGTCGGCTCGTCTTCCTTTCGGCCCCTCGACCAGCTTCGTTTCCTGTAGGGACGCCTTTCGGATCTGTCTTGATCAAGCTGATCTCGACGATGCCAACGATCATCGTGTCGGGGAGAACGAGGTCGATCGACAAAACGCTGAAGCTGTCCTTGTTTGATTAAGTCCTCAATCTTGTCCTTCAGAGCCGCACACTCTTCAGTCGAGTGACCCCGGTTACGATGATATTTGCAGGACTTGCTTGTGTCGGCGCGTGGGGGGGTCGAGGCTTGTTTCGGCACTGCCAAGACCTCCAAAGCAAGTGCTTGGTCTAATACAGCTGATCGGCTAGTGTTTAGCGGAGTGTAATGAGAGGTGACCTAAAAGAGATGGTTTTTTTTTTGTGTGGAAAATGAGTCATGAAGGTACATGCTTGAGTTAACTAATACAAACTTGTGCAATTTTTGTGAGGTTTATGAAGAAAATCTCTTCCATCTTTTTAGAGAATTTGAATAGACATGAGCATTGTGAGAATTATTTATCCAAGGTAATGTTTATAATGAATTTTTTTAGAATAATGTATAACAATTTGACTAACTACCAATTTATCTAACCACAATGAGGTAAATGGTATGACTTGGAACGTTATTTATTGAATGCTGTTGTATTTGACATGGTGGAGAAAAATGAATTGACCTTCAACCAAATCACGTAGAGTCTCATAGATCTTGTGGGAAGGGTTATGTGAATGGTGTAGGAGATTGGTAGATTTCAAGAGTAGAATTGAGTAAAAAAAAACTAATTGAACTCAACTACAAAACTTGAATTATTTCCTTAAAAAAATGAATTATTTGAAAACTAAATTAAATTATTTTTATAAAAGGATAAAAATTAGAGATGTAAAATGTGATTCGATTCGATAGGCTAGCTTGATGTTCCAATGATCGGGGGTTCAAAAAAAAAATTGGACCAATTTGGTTAGGCTCAACAAGTCAATTAGACTAGGTCAAATTACTAATTTTTCAGGCTCAAAGTCTATCAATCTTTTTGGCCCAATATATATATTTAACCTAATTTTTTTAGACACTTTTTTTGAAGTCCAAATCAAACTAGGTCAGGTCATTATTTTTTAGACCATTAATTTTTAGGCTTGAAGCCTATCAATTTATTTGACCCAATATATATTTGTAAAATTTAAATGAAATAGAAAATAAATTAAAATGGATCAATTTTACCCCTACCAACAAACTAATAGGTCAAAACAAATTTATTCCAAACACTAAAATAATTGAGTTCAATTTAAATTGCAATTTAGATCAAACTTTTAGTGTAGTACAATTTAGTTTAGTAAAACAAAATATAGTCCAATCAGTTCACTTGAACTAGTTTCCATTTCAGTTCAATTGAAACAAACTTTTTTTTTTCTAGTTAAGTGTAATTTTACAACATTTCATTTCAATTTTATTTTACCCCTATTCAAGAAAGTACTTTATTTGATTATATAACTCCTTCATGCAATGTTGGAAGGAAAGATATAACATGACAACCACATGATATAAGGAGGTGTTTTTGAACATGGATGGATCGATCAAGGAGCTTGGTGAAACAACTTTTGGTGGAGCATGTTCGAATCTTTCACTTGAACTATGAGCTATTTTTTTGGCCTCCAACTAGCTTGGGATATAGACTTTCACAAAATGAAAGTATGTTCTCACTTTCATTATGTGATCAAGTTGTTAACTAAGAGATGTTATTACATTCATCCTTATGCTAGTGTAATAAAAGCTACTCTTGGGTTCATTGAAATGAAGGCATGTTACACGGTGTCATGTGTTGTGAAAATCAAATCAAGCAGCACAATGACTTAAGTTTATTAAGTAAGCATTACATATTTCATTTTGTTCTTGATTTTATATGTAATGTCTTAAGGCTATAGTAGTATTTATTTTTCTAGAGGTTTTTAGGCTTTAATAATATATTCGATGAAAAAAGAACATTAAAGTATTTAATTGAAGAGTATTAACTTAATTATTTAGTTATTTTTTTCGTGTGTACAATAACTAGGTCAAAATCTAGGACTTCATGTTGATTATTTCATCCTTACATGTCAAAAAATTTGATTCCATAAATATTTTATATTTAGTGAATTATATATTTAAAAAAAAGGCGAAAAAAAGCATAAGACAGAAGGGCCCTACACAGCACATAGTAACTCAGCAACAGCAATACAAATACTCTGCTCTCACTCCCATCATTTCATTCCGCATTCACAATGGCCACCACCGAGCCGGAGCACCGCCGCCACGACGCCGCCGACGAAGACAACGCGCCGCCGGAGGACGAGGACACCGGGGCTCCGGTCGCTCCGATCGTCCAGCTCGAGGAGGTCGCCGTCACCACCGGCGAGGAGGACGAGGATCCGATTCTCGATCTGTACGAACACACACACACAGTCACTCACACATGCACTCACTCTTTCTCTCATTGAATTGTGAATTGTGATTGATTTTGCAGGAAAGCGAAGCTGTATCGGTTCGACAAGGAGGGGAATCAGTGGAAGGAGCGAGGCGGTGGGAATGTGAAGCTGCTGAAGCATAAGGTTAGCGGCAAGGTGAGACTCGTCATGCGTCAATCCAAAACCCTCAAGATCTGCGCAAATCATCTCGGTACTAAACTATCACTATTCACTATGCATTGCTTTTCCTCTTCTTTTGGATTCCATGTTATACTCTTGGTAATACTAATAGACTCAATACTCATTATCGTAGTTACTGTTCTCATATTAGTTTCCAAAGTTACGAACTAAAGGGACGACTCGTTTCTAGAGTTTTACCGTCGTCGATGATAGAATATTACTTTCTAAAATTAAGATTATGATTTTAAGGAACCATTTTTAATACATATATATATTTTTTAATTTTGAAACAATTGTCGATTTTTTTTTTTTTTTTTTTTTGATTCAGGTACTAATATATATATGACGATGCTTTCTAATTTCAGGACTAAAATGTTTACTCATTTGGTTATATTATATGCGAACCGATTATTTTAGAGAAATCGTTGTGATTCTTTTTATTTTTATTTTTTTTATTTAGAGAAATTGTAATTAATAAGAGTGGTAATAGAGTGGCCAGCAACACTTGCCGTTGATTCTTCTATGAATATCGAATAAACCACCTCTCGATTATTAGTTAGTTAACTTGATACCTTTGCTCTTAAATAGTTGGATAACTAATCTCTCAAATATTATATTATGTATCTATTAGTTTAATACCTTAGTTTTGAAAGATTTTTTTTTAATATTTGAGAGATTATTCAGCATGATTTCAGATACTTGAAAGATTATTTATACAGTATTTTTTAGAAACGACTGACGATAGAGGGTAATATCCCCCCTCCCCCCTTATTTCTAGTGAAATATAAATTTAATAATATATAGAATTGGTCATATTGGTATATGAAAATGTGACGATGGTCGCTGAAGTGTATATTTTGTCCGTTAAATTAGTCTCTCATGATTCGGAAGCTAATTGGATTTTTGAGTTTTTTGACTTGATTAAAATTGTTATTATTATTGTTGTTATTTTTCTGATGGATGTAGCGTGAATTTCAGTTCATCGCAGTTTGACGGTACAGGAGCATTCTGGGAATGAGAAATCGTGTGTGTGGCATGCTTCTGATTTTGCAGATGGGGAATTGAAGGATGAGCTGTTCTGCATTAGGTTTCCCTCTGTTGAGAGTGAGTCTCTAGGCTTTGTGCTGCTGGAAATTTCTCTTAGTTCATTTTCTTTAAATGCACATCTTCCATTTTTGGATGATTAATTTGCAAAATTTGATTTGTGATTGGGCTTCTGGTTTTGAAATGGGTTGAATGCTGTTTTATGATCTATATGATTGCATTGGAGAGTATTCATTGATTAAAAAGCTAATTCCATTCATTTTTTGACACTACTATCATGTGTTTGAACTGCTAGAACATGCATTACAATATTTGACACTACTATCATTGTCTAAAATATTTGGCTTCAGAACTAAGATTTATTGATTTGCAATGGTATATTTTGATCTCTTCGTAAAGTCACTTAAACCATGTCAGTTAGAGACTATGTGACATGCATTACAATAATTCAAATAGGATTAACTGTTGAACTTAATAAAGAACTGCCCCTATGAGTCATGATCTCTGTATTCCTTGTATCCTGATGGGTAGTTTCAAGTGGTGAATCATGTCTAGGAACTTTCAGCCCTGACATATAAGTTGATGAAAAGGATGATTTGCTTTTGATGATGTAAAGTGAAGTAAGGAGGAAATAAACACTGGCTACATTTGATTACTTTTACATTATTTGTGATTCTAAAATGCATTTACTTCTTTATTTTATACATAAGGCAGACTGGCAGAGGTTTCATCTCTTACCCTTTCCTTTTTACCTTGTGAAGGAGACTTACTTTTGGTAAGAAGGCTTCTTAACAATCACTCTAGTGGCATTGACCAATCTCAAAGAGAGAACTTGTTTCAAACAAAATGTAAGATTTTAGAAAATACTTGTTCTCTCATTGTAGATAGTGGATCAACTACCAATTGTTGTAGCACTAGATTGGTTGATAAGTTAGCCTTGATTACGAAACCTCATCCTAAACCTTATAAAATGCAATGGATCAATAAGGAGAGAGGTATTATAGTTAACCAACAAGCAAGCATACCAATCTCCATTGGCAATTATAAGGAAGAAGTTTTGTGTGACACAGTGCCATTAGAGGCCATGGCAATTTGACAAACAAACAATCCATGATGGCCTCACAAACAAAATAAGTTTCCAACACTTAGGTAAGAAGTTTGTGTGGTGTCCTCTATCACCCTCTCAAGTGAATGAGGACCAACTTAAACTAAAAGCTAAGAAAGATGAAGAAGAGAAAAGCAAAAACAAAAAGAAAAAGAAAAGAAAAGAAAAGAATTTTCCCTTTGAAGAGAAAGAAGGGCTAGGTTCAAGAGAACCTTAACCCTTGTGCCATCCTCATTCTTTTGGTGCTAAAGAAAGATGGTAATGGAGGATGAGCACCTTTTTTTATTTTTATTTTTTATTTTTTATAAAACCCATCATTGAATAAAAGGCACCCAATCCTTAAAGTAGATGATTTGGTGAATGAATTGCACGGGGTCAATAATTTTTTAAATGGTGAAGCCTCTTTGGCTCTCTCTTTTCCCTAGCACTTTCATTCAACAAATTGTGTACTTAAGGATTGCATAGCTAAGTTTTAGTATTTTACTTCCCTAATTGTCGTTTCACATCTTTTTGAAGGATTAATGGAATGGAAGAGCTTAAAGATTTGAAGTCAAATCCTTCTCAAGAAGGAGGGGATGATGGAGGACCATCCTTGGTACTTCATGTGAGACCCATCACATGGTTCATGGCTAGGAGAATGGAGAGATACCATGTATGGATCCATCTCCTAGGCCCAATTTGAGTAGTATAGAATTTT